ATACAAGAACGCCGCCCGTTCCAGCAAAATTGATTCATTCGAACGACTGGCAGTGTAGCTCTCCAACATTCCGTCGGTCGCGTTCTCCGTTACATTTTTTCAAGATTCTCGCCATCGTGTATGCCCATGCAGAACATTTCCCCGCACAATTTTTCTGGGCGCCCATGTTTGCGTGGGCGTTTTTTTTGCGATCCGATATGATGTGTGTTGTTTGTATGTTTTTCGTATTTATTTGGATATCGGTTTCTCTTTTTGAATGTTCTTTGCTTATTATCGGGACTTCTTCTTCTCATCAAATAAAATCAAATCTCAATGAAATTGGCAGCTTGAGATATTTACGCGTTTTTTCCATGACTTTTGTATAGTTTCTGGCGTCGTACGGAAATTGCAATGTTTGCAAAAAAATCTTTATATCGCAGTCGTAGCCCGTGGTCCCAAATAAAGTGCGATTTTTACACGTTGGCGTTTGCGTCGTACTTCCGAAATTGATAGTCTGTAGTTCATGGGATTTTTCGATGATTCCTCATATCTTGCAATTGCGATAAATATCGCAACATCGGAAAACATGCAAAATATGTTGCATTGGCTTTTCTTGAATTCCCCAATGAAATTCGCGTTAACCTTTTTCAAGGTGATCCTTAAATCGAAGCCGTTGCAAAATTCCATTCGCACATCGCGTCTTCGAATTTCAATTGCAAGTGTGCTTCTCTGTCCCAGTCGTAACACCAATAATATGTTCTTCTCCATTGTGTGATCGTTCCATTGCTGTTTCAGTTCCCCAAGCCGAGGAAAAAATTTCCAGCATTTGCAAAAGAATTCTTGTATTTCATATCGGAACCGGCATCTGATTGCATCATCAGTGCAACTATAAATTCCCATCACAAAAGTCATACAATCTCCCTCCCCAGCTGGAAGAAGAGGGTTGGAAAAAGAAACTCTCTAGATCACAAGCACCTGAAAGGCTGGCGGGATTAGAAATAATTTGCCCACTGGCTCACCTCGAAGAGATGCGGGCGTACCCGCTTTCCCCTCCCCGTCACTTCGCGTTCGTTGCACGGCCTTTTGGTGCAATGGGACGGTCGTACCACTTTTCTGAACGTCGGAAGTCTGGAGAAAGGGACGGATTTCTCCTTATCTCTTCCCGTAGACCTGGACAAAGAGGTTCCGCGGGTTATTATACGTCCACGATGGTCTCGAAAAACGGAAAAAAGAGCATCAAGAACATCATTCATTTCCGTAGGAGCTGGAAGGATTTTGAATTCTTTCGGGCGCACAAGGCGATTCGAGGTATGCTAGAAGGGTAGCGGTAATTGACACCCCTCCCTTTTTGTTGATAAATCTCCTCCAACATGGCCCCACAAGCGCACCCGAAGGCTCCCAAAAGGCTGTGGAGATACGCAAGAGGCCCCAAAGACGGCCCAAGATGCCTCCAAGCTCGCCATTGTCCTCCTCCTCTTCCTCTTGCTCCTCCTCCTCCTCTTATTATTCCTCCTCCCTCCCCTTCCTCTTCCTCGTCTTTTTTCTCCTCCTCCTTCTCATCCTCCATGTCCCCTCCATCTGCTCTTCCTCATCCTCCTCCTCCGCTCTCTCCTCCTCTTGCTCGTCCTGCTCCAACGACGACGACTCTTCCTACATCCGCCTCTTGCAGCATATGAAGGCTTACCCCGCTCATTGTTCTTCTGCATTTTCCCCCGGTTCCCCAATCACCCCCGGTCCCTTGGGACTCATGTTTGGACGAGCTGGTGGGGATACGTGAAGCATTTAGAATTTAGTGTGGGAGAAATACACAAATTCGATCTGCATTGAAATCCTTAAAAAATCCTACCGCCTATGTTGCAAATTCAACATCATACTTTTCCTGGATCCTCAGGTGGACCCCAAGGATCTTCCACGCTAATGTTTAAGAAAAAACTTACGTGACATGGGGCATAATTTTCGCTGTGTTTTCGATGAGCGTAATTCCCTATGCTTACACAAATTCGTTGCTGCCCAATGGGATTCGCACTGCTTTCGCGCCTCATTCAAGCAACGGAGCAGCATCGCACTTCCACGTATATGGAAATGTTTTGGCAAACGGGGATTTCGTATTGCACCACATAGCAAATTTTCCAATCTACACACTAATGCGGCACATGTCCCTTGGAAAAATTCGTCGCCATCCAGATAAGCCGCGATCTCGGCGCTTGGCGGGAGCCGCTGCACTTCAGAAGCCCTTGTCGCCTTGCCGAATGGTGCGCGGATGACCGTTGTCGTCCATCGGAACTCTGATTGGAACTCTGATTGGGCCCTCGATCAGAAATTCAATATTTTGCAATAATTCTCGGCATTCAATCTAAAAATTCAATATTTTGCAATAGTTCGTGGCAGATCCGGGCACGACAGACATGGTCGTATGCCCCGACACCATCGATGCTTAATCTTATTTTTTCTGGATGCGCTTCGACAAAATACTGCAAGAGGTGTACTGCTGCATCAGTCCCGCTCTTGGAGAATATCCCAAAATTATGCGGCTGCACAGACCGGCGGAATGCACTCTGATATGGACGAGCGAGGCTTTTCGAGACCAGTCTGCGTAAAGCATCGGCCGATGCGATTCCCCAAACTTTATTGTCTGGTTTTTTTTAAGAACATCCACAATCGCATTCGGTATCTGCGCCGGTGCCGCAAGATCTGCCACATCCCACAACATGTCAAAAACAATGGTGTCTTCAAAACATTGTTTCTAATACTCGTACTGCCCTCCCCAGAATCCTGCGCTGAAGCTTTTCCGCGAGGTTCGGAGGACCCGCGCGAAAGTATGTTGATCAAGGAAGCCTGGATTTGGAAGGTTGGTCTCGTGGATTTCTTGTGGAATATTGTCGGCCAGACGGTCTGGACGGAGGAGGGCATTGTTCAATTCATTCAAAGAGGCGTCCGTCCCAGGTGCGAGCCCCGGGGAAATAAGAATTCGGGATTTTATTTGCGGTAAGGATCCCCAACCCTAAACTGTAGTACCAAGTGAACGCGATTCGATAGATGCCAACAGCCCGGGCAACCATTTCCATTGACACGGCCGTTGAGCACACGATCCGAACCCGTCCAGGCCTGGCGGGCGCTGTGTACGAGGTGGTATTCCGACAATGATGCAGCATCTCGATCTTGTTTGCGCTGGCCAAGGCTGCGCACGTGGTCGAGTACATCATGCCTCTGCTGGTCCGCGGCCCTGGACCCCCACTGATCCGAACCGCTGGCTGCCAAGGCAAATCAATGCCATCAAGAAGCTGCCGGCGAAAATGCCAATCACGAGCCAACCCCATCCAAAAGCGAAAACCCCAAACCCTGCCATAATGTAGTCCGGAAGGGAACCCGCACACACCATACACGGAGTACATCGAGGCCTGCTTGCACTCCGTTGGCATTGCGGCCGCTGTCGCATAAGATCGAGAATCTGCAAATAATGCCCAATCGTAAGTGCCATCGCATGCACCCCAAACGGGTTCCCATGGGATCGTGCCCGTGTGCGAAAAAACCCATGCCATTATAGGACGACAATAATCTATTGACACAACGTGCTGTCAATACGTTCCGGGGATTCCGGGATTTCTAACAACCTTCGCGCGGGGTGCAATCTTTAGCGATTGGGGTCGGCGGCCATGTGTCGACAGCTCATGCCGAGGAGGATTAGCTTGGAAAGAATGATTCGCCAGCTTGGACCTCAAACAAGGTTGTGGGTCTATGCGCAACGCAAAAGAGTAAACCCTAAGTGCAAACCCTAACTAACCTGGCTGGCCTGCTCGTCGGTCGCCAGGTTGATTGGGATCGCATCAACCACTCGGTGCTGGAGTA